TAATTTAGGCCATGTTTGGGAGGTATTTAGATTTTTCTACAGTAAATCAATTCTCATTTTCAACCACACATTTTTCAATAAAATAATATTTTCCATCACATCAATAATTTTTTCTTCTTTTTCAACCAGACATTTCCTATCATATCACTATTTAAAATCAATTCTTCTCCCAAAAATCCCTCACAAACAAACTCTTATAAAAATTTGAGCTACTCTTCTTAAAAATGTCGAACTTTTAAGATAAAACTTCAAAGTTTAATACTACTTCCTACAAAAATCTATATAAGCTTAATTTCTCAAAAATTGCCGAAAGAACTTGTATATATATTCACTAAATAGACAAAAATAGATACACTTTGCACACAACTTTTTTACAGGGAAAAAAAATGAAGAAAATCAGCTAAAACAAGTCCATGCTGACACTGCATAAATGGGCCTATCATGCCAACATATCATCAAACTGGCCTTCTGATTGATTATCTTGTAACCCTTCAGCCTGTGAGCCTCAACTGCTCGCCGGGCCTCATCCATTATTTCAGACCATAAGCGGATGGGCCTGAACCCGGCCCTACCAAACCTCACCAACCATTTTGCATACCTTTCATGCCTCTCCTCCCTCTCTAGTCCTTCACCTGCCACAATATTTTCAATCTCTTTCCCAAACATTTCTTCCAACATGGTTCGATCTGCGCATGAGAATTCCCCATAAGCAACACTGATAGAATCAAACCACGCACTATAATAATGTAAAGCTTCAACAAATCGATCCACTAGACGATTGTGATTGTGATCGGATTCTTGCTCGACTAGTAACACTACCTTCGGGGACATTGATTTTATAATTGCTAAGAACTCATTCATTTGCTTAGAGTCCTTAACTTCGTTATTTTTGCTAGTCCCGAAATGTGAATTGACACGATCGTCCTCAGCCAATAAGACATGAAGACTTGATATTGATGTCAATGCTAGCGCTTCACCTGATTTTACCTTAAGCATGTCTAACGTAAGCTCTCCAAGACTAACATTTACAGAGTTGAATTGAAAGGGCATGTCCAAACTCTCAGCCTCTTTCGCAAGCCTAGTCCCTATTTTCTCTTGGGCTAACTTATTTTGACTAACAAAAGTGATTTTCAAATGAGGCGGCCCATTGGGGACGTGCCCTAGGCCCTGTATAAACGGAACCCACAACTTCGGATCGCCGGAGCCCAAATCAATTACATGAATTATTCGTTCGTGAGACATGACTTGGATCAAGACCTGCTTTATAATCGAGTAGGCAAAGGCCATGCAAGGGAACTGTCGAGTGAAGATGGACCAAGCCCGGTCAAGATCATGCCTCGCAGGCTCAGTGTTATTAAGAGCCTTATATAGGCCAGGCCAGCGCTTAACAAGTCGAGCTGCCAACGCGGAGGCAAACCGGGTGGAAAGCCGTTGCATGGAGTCACCATTGATCGAGGCATGCTGGAAAATCTGGCGGAGATAGGCATCGGCATGGTGGAGATTACCCGATGAGGTATGACCAGCACAAGATAGCAACAACTCAATCAATTTTACACCTCTCTCTTCTGGATTTACGTCCTCACTAGGATTTGTGGGAATCGACGGCAAACTCAAGGACAAGGTCACTTCTGGTTTCTGTGATGGAAATGAAGAACTCATAAGTGCTTAATTTCTGCTAATCAAAATTTTAAGAATGTTTAGAGAAAATTAATTTGGCTACTTATTGTGGGAGCCTAGGAGGAGCAGGTGAGAATATGAGAAGCTAGCTTTTGGACTCATTTAACCCGTCCAATAATATACAACAAAATGCATTTTTTTTTTGAAAAAAATTATTTTTCATGCAATTGACCTTTCTGGATTTTTCTTAATCACATGCATACTAATCATTATTATAGTTGAGATTAATTAATAAGTCAAATGCACAACCGAATAAATTCCGTCGTGCATTATGTTTTAAATGTAAATAATAGGCAGAACTGTAATTTTGCTTTTTTACTGGGAGAAATATAAGATTTCCACTTTTTTACTGTAAATGTCACATCAAACTTTTTCTGATAAATTACTTATAAATAACTTCATTTCACCACATATAATTTACTTATTTCGAAACTATATATATAAAATAATAATGATATTTGCAGTCGCTCAGTACGACAGTTACCCTACGTGACATACACATGACATGTGAGTTATTTGATACATGAGTCAATAAAATCATTCTACTTTAAATTAGCAAGGGTATTCAAATTTTTGTTACTCAGAAGTAGAAAATAAATAGATTTCTCATTTAGGTAACTTAGTGTAAAATTAAATAATTTATTACTTAATAAATATTAAATATAAAAAATTAATTATAAGGTAGTTGGGAGATTTGTCAGTTCTCAATTAACTTACCAGCCACTACCAGCCATATTTACTTGTCTTTTTAGATAAACTCTTTCTAACATTCCTATTAGGAAAAAAACAAAGAAAAATTAAATTTGGTCCATAAAAACCAAAGGGATTGGCATAATCTTAATTTTTTCATATACCTTCACTCGGTTAGGACAAAAATATAATAATTTAGATGATTTTAAGGCAATTATGCCTGCAAAAATGAGGTCATCTTAGTAATTAAACAAACTTATCCAAGTGTTTTCTTCTTGATATCTCTTTCCTCTCCATTTGGCATATGTGTAAACTTTAACCAACCAGCAAGAATTTGATAAAAACAATAGTAAATTGGAGATATTGATCATAATCTCAAAGACGGCTATGAGAGTGCACGAGTTGAGCGATCGTACAGTGCCTTGACATTGTAAGGGCACAAAAAAAAAATTTGTTATAGGCGTTTATATATGTATAATTATTGGTGCCGATCATCCACTTGTTAGTTATTATTTTGTGGTTTTTTTTTTCTAGAAGGTAAGTTTTCGTTACATGAAAGGGGCATAATTTTAATTTTAATTTTTTTTATTGGCGTCAGTAAACTTTTTTTTTTTAATTACATGAAAATGACATCATTTTAAAATGTTGCTCCGGACATTCAAAATCTCAGGACCGGCCCTGCATAGCCTGAGATGCCTTCGCACATACAGAAGTTGGAAAATATGTTTGATTGTGATGTATTTCCTTTGAAGTGTTGTTAATGCCAGATTTTAAGCTGCAGTTTACTCCTAGAGAGCTTAGAAGTATAAGAAGATTTATGATATGCTTGGCAGTATTTAGAAACATACTTATTAATATTTGTTAAAAGTCAAATTTATAATTCATTAAACACAAACTTACAAAACAAGCATCAATTAATAGAATGAGTCAATTATAGATTGATAAAGTTTTATCCGAAAGAATTGCATCAAAGATTCATTAAATTAAAAGTTGAATACTTCCTAACGTGAACAAGCAAAGCTCCCTTGCAAAGCACGTATGAGGTAACATGTGTTCACTCTGAAGTTAATTAGGAGAAAAGTTACGAAGATCTATAAAAATCAAATTTCAAGAAGATTTTAATAAAAGTTCATCGACTGAAAAGTAAGATTCTCATAAAATATATGTTGATTTCGATTTGAATTTAATCAACTTTTTTTAGTTGAACTAAACAAGAGTGTTCTATTTGTGTTTCAGTTTTATGTTTTGTATTTTGAGTTTTGAATTCATTTTGGGTTTTGTGTTTTGAGTGTTCATTTTGAGATTGTAGATGTAGAAAATGTGTTCTTTTTGGCATTTTAAAAACACGTTTTGAAAACACTCAAACACGTTGTGAAAATGGGCTTGATTATAACTGAAAACATCCAAAACGACAAATTTGTCATTTTAGATTTCTTTTTAAATTTTTAACTTGTTTTCAAAAACGCATTTTCGAAAATAGGGAAGAGAACGCGTTTTTACTGTTTTGGAAAATCGAAAACAGAAAACGATTTGAAAATGGTAAAGAGAATAGACCCTTAGAGTCTAAATTTATTTACATTTCATATATTGTATATTAATCATTTACATTTTACACCCCGCTTTTTTATTTAAGGTCATTACAATTTTTTAATTATTGCACTGCATTTTAATTTGATTTAAGGACCTTAACCTTTCCTCATTTTAGTACTTATTTTCATACTTTTTTCGTTGAATTTTTATGTTTGATTTTCATTAATTAGCGCATCTCGTTTTTTATGATAGTTTGTGTCAAAAGTATTCTATTTATGCGTTTTGAAATGAGATAAATCTAAGTATTCTATTTATATATTTTGAAGTGATTTACGACATTTCAACTGAATTTTTGGATAGAAATTGTTAGCAAAGATAGATGTGCTAATTAATTGAAGATTGTGAATAAAAATATGATGAAAAAAGTTGGAAAAAATAGTGTTACAATGAGCGAAGATTGAGAAAATTAAATGCAATTAAAATTTGGTGAAATAAATAAAAACTGTGGTATGAATATAATTAGGATAAATTGAAGTTTTAGACCCCTAACCTTTTCCAGAAATTGTAATTTTCGTCCCTACCTTTGATTTTCAGCTTTATACATCTCCATCTTACCGAAAATGAGCAGAAGTTCACCGTTAATTACTTGCTCATGTAACCTGCACGTGTTTTAAGTTAAGGGTAAAACGGAAAATCCACGAAAAAGTCCAGAGAAATAAAGGTTAATTATATTCGCACCATAATTTTTATGTCTTGCACCATATTTTAATTGTATTTAAGATTCTTAATCTTTGTTCATTACAACATTTATGTTCCTAACGATTTTTCATGTCATTCTTATCCTTGCTTTTGAACTTGATAAATATCTAGAAGAGGATTTCTACCTAGTTTAATGTACTTGTTGTATGT